ACCTGAGGTGGGAAGTGTCCCACCCTTTTGTCACCATAGTGACAGCTCTTTTGGTGTAATAGGTAGAAAGTTAAACAGAATTTTCTATTTAAAGATGTTTAATCTGTATTTGTCTGAGTACTTATCTGTTTGCAGAACAAGAGAGGATAGGAGAGAAGAAGAGAGGAGAACTGAGGAGAGTAGAGGAGTAGTGATTGGGAAGGAGAATTTAATATATTACTAATGACTGAAGGGCAGACAAAGAGAGAGAGTCAGAGAGATTCAGAGACACAGAAAGGGGAACAGTTGGCTACATTTACATTTATTCATTTGGCCAGTGAAAGTATTGCTGCAGATTAAACAACGATGAGAAATACACGAGGAGAAAAATATTGAAAAAAGAAACATATACATCAAAAGAATAGATTGAGTGACAGAAATAGCTAAAAGCTGTAGGGATGAAAGATGGAAATAGCGAGTGGGAGGGAGAGAGGACGATGTGGAGAAAGATATAAAAGCAATGGCAATGGCAATATAATGAGAAAATAGGGGAGAGTGATAGAGCAGCTAAACAAGAGACAAAGATGATAGCAAGAGAGGAGGAGCAAAGACAACGAGAGTTCCAAGCATAACGCAAGAGAGACAGAGAGAGAGACTGAGAGCATGTCTCTGGGGCAGAGAGGTTGATTTGGGCCTGCTGGTGATTGGGTTTGGGGCTGCTCCTGCAGAGCCGAGGTGACTCACCAGTCTCCCACACACATATCCAGGCAGCATGAGTGTGGTAAGGAGGGAGAGAGAAAGAGAGAGAGAGAGTGTGTGTGTGTGTGTGTGTACTTTCACTGTTGATGTTGTGGGGACATAAATCTGATTACATAGTCACACTGCGGCAAATGAGCGTCTTTCTGGGGACAAAAACTCCCGAATTTTTAGATTGAAGACTTAATTTAAGGTTAGAGCACCTCTCCAGGATATGAATGAGGTTAAATGTTAATGTAATGTCTTTTAAAGTGATGGATACAAGTCAGAGAAGAGTGTTGGCTTGATGGAAACACTGTTGTGTGTGAGTGTCTGTACATGTGTGGTGTAGTCGTCATGCTGCATGCAGCCTACAGGGAGCTGCCACTCTTAATAACAGATAATAACACACAATTCATAGCCGTTTCAAGATGCCGACTGTCCCTGCTGATTCACTGCCTATTGTACAACCCTATTGTAAAACACACGCACACACACACACATACAGACACACTGGTTTGAAATGAAATAATCTGATTCTTAGGTTGCTAAAAAATGTTCCATTATCCAGAGCACCAAGCATCTCATCCATCTCCGTAACAGGGTATTAAATAATACACACATGACTGGAACCTTAGCTGACATTAGCGAAACACAAATTCAAATTTATCAGTCCCGTTGATCTCCAAGGATACATTTAAATTCTCCATAATTGCACTTTCTCCCTGAGAGGCATCTCACACAGATTTGAGTGAATTAAATAAGCTGAAAACAAAGCAAGCAAAACAAATGAGGATGCACAGCGACACTGGCTGCCCATGCATCAATATAATCCAGTATAAAAGAAATGCAGCTCGCTTAAATACTTTACATGTGACTCCATGTTCAATTCACATAAGGGTTGATAGAAGTGAGGGGCATGTATGTAGCCTTATATTTTTACATAGTTGACATGACAAGAAGGGGTTCACTTTCACTGACACTGTCCACTTGTAAATATCACCCACATTTTTGGATGTTATGTTAAACTCACAATCTGCCTAGGCAAACAGATGGACATGGAATATAAATAGTCTACTGTGTAACGAGTGCTAGATTTTAATTGTGTGTGTTCCTGTGAATGTCTGGTATAATGGGGCCTTAATGTTAGCTGGAACAATGCCCTTCATCATTATCTGTACTTGAATTTTAGGGACATGAAAATCTAAATCGAGTGAGCATTTCACAGCGCCAGAAAGGAGACCTGGAAGAATAATTGGAAGAATAATTTGATTTCAAAGATAATTGGGATACAATATGATCTAGAGAAGATAATTGTCCTCCTTTTTGTTTTCTTTCAAATTTCAAAGACAGGAAAGTCTGTGTGTGTGTGTGTTTTTTAATCTTGAAAGAGAGGCTTCAGATAAGTGACAAGCCATTATTAAAAGAGAGAAGGATCAAAATAACAGGTTTTCAAGGGAAGTCCACCAAAATCACCTTCCTCTCCTCTCCTGATTGCACGATTGGCTTCTGGATGTGTGTGACGTGAATAGTGAGTGAGGAGATGATACTGTTGAAAAGAGCCTTCCCCTCAGAGCAATTGCCTGTCTGATGCCTGGAGCCTCTATCGTGACAACACAAAGAAGAAAACCACCTAAGAACTGCTGTAAATGCTTTTCAATGTGTTTCTCTTTACAGACACCTTCAGTCATTGATGCCACTGCAATATGTTGATGCTTATGCCAGTAATTTGTACCCCTCTGTACGATGCACATTTTTCCAAGTACTTATTAAGTATCCTGATGAGATGGGGGCAGATATTTGCATGCTTCCACGTTGTTCCTGATATGTATATTTACATTAAGGGTACAGAGGAAATTGCTTACTTGGTGCATAGTGATATGTTCCTGAACCTGTTAAAATTTCCATTTGCTTGAATCATGACAACTATAAAGTGCCTCATGTAGCTTACTAAAAAGGGAATAATGTTAAATAAATGAGCCATAACAATAACACAGAAAATTGTCAGCAAACTGTAGCTTTAGGGTTTGTGATGAGTGCTCCGTGATAAACAGATGCATACATCAAAAGATCGGTACATGGCTATGACATCAGCATAACAGTGAAAATGAGCATTTATAACACTGAGTCAGACGGTTGATATATAAAATAAATAGGAAGGGGTTAACCCTGGGTACACTCTTGGCCACAATTTTTTGTTCCTAGCTGTCAAGAGTAGCAGGTGCTGTGGTCTGATTCAAGGTTTGACGTGTTGTGTGCTCAGAGACCCTCTTCTGCATACCTTGGTATGCAGAGTGGTTATCTGAGTTATTGTTGCCCTCCTATCAGGTCGAAGCAGTCTGGTGATTCTCCTCCAACCTCTGACATCAACAAAGCATTTTAACCCAAAGCTTTACTGCTCATATTTACTCTTTTTTTGGATCATTCATGGTAAAGCCTAGAGATGGTTTTGTGGAAAAATCACAGTAGATCAGCAGTTTCTGAAATACTCACAGCAGCCATTCAGACACCAATAACCATGCCACATTCAACGTCACTTAAATCACTTTTCTTCCCATCATTCCCATGCCCAGTTTGAACCTAAATATGGCATCTTGACCATGTCTACATGCCTAAATGCATTAAGCTGTTGCCATGTGGTTAGCTGCTCATATATACACTATTCAGCTATCATCAGAACAGCACAAAACAATAGTGACTGCATGCCAATATTTAGAGGCCAGCATGAAAAAACGAGTCATTAAAGAGGAGCATTTCTAATCAGCAGCAACAATGTGCAAGGTTGATCGACGCAAAACATGATGCAACAATGAGACTGTAACAGTTTCTCGTAGTATTTAAGTAATTCCAGAATGGTTTTCAGGTTATTTTTGCGCACTGGTTAATGTTTTCTGGAAGCTGTGTACTTTCAAGTAAAAATGGAGGGCAATGATAGAAGATATTCTTAGATATCTTCTATCTGAGTTTAAGAGATAGAGCACACAGACAAATTCACTGATCTGGTGTTGAAGGTTAAAGAGTATGTTTGGCTTTCTTCTTGAAAGGTTATTCCTGAGGTACCCAAAGGAGTCTGTTTTTTACGTGTGATAGAGAGGAGGAAAAAGTCTGTCTGTGTGTGTGTTTCTGTCTGCTTCTATCTTGGTATGCATGTGAGTGTCTTGTTTGCCACCAGCAGGTGCCATCACCTACCTTTCTGTGTGCCAATGAAACACTGTCTCTTTGAAAGAAGATAATTTGGATGACACCCATAGCTCTCAACCAGGAACCTACAGATCTTCTATTCCACAGCTTCCTCCCACCACCAACCCCTCCAGCAATCCAACCAGGCGTCTCCCTCCTTCCCACTGAGCCCCCCTCTGCCATCTCAAGCCCATGCATACCACTCGTGGAATATTTAACAGCAGACATGTTCATGAATGTCAATGTTCAGAGATCTCACAGCTTTGTGCTTTTTTTTTTTTTTTTTAGACCTTGTTTTCCTTTCTCAGCCCTCTGGCCCTTAAACACATATTGGGTCAGTGTGAGAGAATGATCCTCCAGGCAGAACTGAGAGTTTGAGTGTGGATCTCAGTAGAAACAGCAAAGCACTATACGCTTTAAATGAAACATTAGCCATGCTTCAGTTATCATACTTAAATGTCAGAGGTAGAGTCAAGTGGAGTTAAGAATTATACATCAACCACAAGAGTGAGAAGTATAATTCAGTATGACATTTAACGTGAAAAAACTTATTTCACTTCCATTATTCCTAAAAACGTTAAATGCATTTGAGTTTAAATGTTTTCTTTCTAGATATAACCTTGACACCCCCGAAAGGATCACATGCACATTCATCTTAAATCTTTTTCTTTTTTTTCTATTAAGTGCAGCGACGTTTCTATTTTGAATAAAGGTCGATGAAGGACTAGGCTGAGAATTTAATGAACAGAGATTTATAAACCAATCTTTCAAACTGTGGAGCTGAACTTTTCCCTGCTTTTTCGATGTGTTGCTTTGTGTGGTACATACAGTGCTATATGGTTGTATTTATAGATAAGTGTGTTTGTGTGTGTTTGTGTGTGTGAGAGAGATCTAAATGGGGTAGCAATGTGTTCAAATTGGACATGACTCACCAGGTATTTCATCAGTGCCACCTCACAAATCCCACAACATTAAAATGCATTTCATGTGTTTGCATGTGTGTGACTGAAACAGCAATTAGCTGGTAACGCGTTGGGCTTTGTATGTGTAGTCACTGGCATGTGCTGATTTCCTGACTGCTACAACATCTCTCTCTGTTCCTGCAGGGTAGAGGAGAGTTTCAAGACTCTTTTCTGGTCAATCTTCGGGCTGTCTGAAGTGATTTCGGTGGTGCTGAAGTATGACCATAAGTTCATAGAGAACATTGGCTACGTGCTGTACGGAGTCTATAATGTCACTATGGTGGTAGTTCTTCTCAACATGCTCATTGCCATGATCAACAGCTCTTACCAGGAGATAGAGGTACAAAAACAAGATAGTTGATCAATGGAAAAAGGGTGTAATATTGTAAACAAGTCAATAAGGTTCATTTGTATGAGTGTCTGATTGTGCCTGCAGGAGAATTGCACCATTACTTAAAAAAACAAAGAGATCAATACAGTGGCAACAAGTAAAAACATCAAACACATAATAAAATGAGTATCCCAGAAAAACCCAAAAGCTTTTAAAATAATTTTTACATTTCTGATTTTTATCACGCTTGTTCTAAAAATGAATACTTACTTTCTTACCTGAGATATTTAAGATGAAAAAAATAATTCTTCACCTTCAATAAACATTAAGCAATAATTTTGAGTGAAATGCAACTGGAATATATGAAATCAAAGTTTTATTTATTCAAATAATCATCATTCAGACAATTTGGGTTGTCTTTTTACAGTTAAACATTTCATCTGTTCTTGGAGAAAAAAGATTATTGGAATCCACTCGGATGCTTCATAACTT